TGAATAAAATATATTTCGAAAAGAGGAACCATATGGAGATCACCGGATGGAGAAGTATGTGTTGCTGTGGTCGGTCCGAGATTCATCCATTCCTCCTGTTGGTTCCCTTTGGAAAGGGGCAGATGTTTCGCCAAGATCTCAACTGACATCTTGTGTGACAACGCACTGAAGCCCCTTTCCAAAAGGAACCAACAGGAGGAACGGATGAAATCTCGGACCGACCACAACAACACACAAATATAAAGAGATACAATATATTATATTGTTATTGCAAATTTTAGCATTCGTTGTCATCGTACGAGAATCCCTCTAACACAGTCCTCGTGGGGTTCAGAATGATACGAATACGAATTCGAACCCCAACTAGGAGATGGTGATGAAGTGGATAAGGGCACCACATCACTTGCCCGAAATACCACAGACTCGGAACATACACATCATTAGCTGAAGCCCACGATCTCTTTGGATCATTTACTTTCTTCAACTCCTTGCGGAAAACGGATCTTAGATTATTTATTTTCTTCACTGCACTACTTATCACGTGTTGCATCAGGCTCAAGAGGTTTTAGTTTTTCAATTAAAATGTCGTATGCTGCCGCTTCCTTGACACGATTAGAATAAGATACGCATGTGGTATCCCAAAGTTCAGGATAGGACCAGTAGCAGTCGATAAATGCTAAAAGCGAATCTTTTTTGGAAACCGTAGTCATGGTGATTGTAAAAATAGGATGGCGACTGAACAACATATACGATGAAGTAAATAAACTACGCAGTTATCGGTGCAAAAGAGGATCCGAACGCACAGACATTTCATCTGCGTGAAAACCCTCCTAAACTGCACAGTTCGCACAGTTTATCGCTCAGACATGACGTCACACGTTATAAACTGCACAGATAAACGGAAGATGTGTACCCCCGTTAAAAGTTTAAAATTCCCCACCCCTGACTCCAGATGACGTTTTAAGTAAGAAGAAAGAAATCACAGACGTTACGTTCTCTCCCGTTTTCTTCTGTTTTCTTCTAGCGCATAAGATTCGTAGCATTGTCTCTCTCCAGGAATTTTATTGATTTTTATACTCTCTAATCATACGCTCAAAGCTGAGTGACGTACTTTGGAGTTCGCCCCCTGTAGTTTCAAACCTTATTATTTTTTTTTTGAAAAACTAAGCGTCAGAATCAAAAATTAAAATAGTTTACGCATAGTTTACAAGTGGATATCTAGATAAGAGACCAGATCATTTTGAAAATCTCGTGAAAGTTTTCTTTTCGAATGAAAAGCCAATGTGCGATGGTGTCAATCCTTATGTTTAAACCATTTTTGCCCTCTCGCTTGACATGCATATCTTATAGAAAAATCGTAGCAATAAGTGGTTAAACATTCAACATAAAATTTTTTCTAATATTTCTTTTGTTAGTTAGTTTTCAACTGATAAAAAAATAAAATAACTTATTTATCTATCAGTTTTATATTTACCTCTTCCCCTAACTTCCAGCTCTTATAACCATTTTCAAACATTTTTACTTCACATATAAAACAGATACCGTGACATATTTCGCCAAACTCGACAAGTAACGCCTAGAATAGAATGTAGTATATGCCTTACTTCACACTAAAAATTTTACTGTTCGACTAGTTTACGGTTATTTAAAATATTTTCAAAATAACTGACAGATTTATCACATTATTCTTAAGAAAAGTAGTTACATGTTAACCCTCGTAACATCGTTGGGGTTGATCTACGACGAATGAGAAAAAACACTTAACTAATATTTTTGAATGCACTACAAAAATATACATATACATAATATACATAAATCCGAAAAAATAAGGGTAGTTCGCCCCTTTTCATCCTGTAGTATATGTATGATACATCAAATGAAAGCTTATTAAAAATTAATCTAATATCAGTTTCAATTTACCAAACTTTGATAGCACTTTTCGTTCTCGAAATATAAGTGAAAATGTACTTTTTCTGTCTTTTTTTTATTGGGTTAAATCGTTAAATTATTACGATTTAATCCAATTTATCTTAGTCCAATTGTTAATAATAACGAAGATACAGATTGTTAAAGTTAATACTTTATTTTCGTTTTTCTTTAATAATTTCCACTATCAATTAGCATTAGTACTCTAGTATTAATGTCAATTGACAGTGTTAGTCTAGTGTTTGACCAAATAAAATCATTTTCAACGCCAACTAATGTTTACTGACCATAGTTAAATTTTGCAAAGTGCCCTTAAACAGTGATTATCTTGGAAACGGAGAATTTTAGAGAAGGTTGATAGGTATACCAAATTTATGTAAAACTGTCCGAGAAACTGTTTCAAGTTGTGTAAGTTGTAAAAATTTTAAGGATGAAAAAGATATGACTACTTTAAGGGAGCTTTTTAAGGCAGGCAGCGCCATCTGAAAGATAAATCAAAACCAAATTATTATTTATCGTCTTAAAAATTGATAATGTACCAATTTTCATGTTCATTATGTAAGAGAAAACGAAATTATTAAAGAAAAACAAAAATAAAGTATTAATTTTAACCATCTGTATGTTCGTTATTATTAACAATTGGAATGTAAAGAATAATGTAAAGAATTCACTGTTGCTCTGTGTCCCATTAGTAACGGATCACTGTATAAACGAAAAATTCTAAAAACACCATGGCCTTCTAATAAAAATATCAAACAGTTTCTGTCATTCCGTGCATGTTTTAATAAATTTCCCAATATGAGTGAAACTACAATAAATAGGTGTAAGAATATTTATAGATGATTTGTAGAGAATTAAACGGTAAAAAATAATCCCGGTTTAAAATTTTAGAGTACAGATTAAAAATATAGAGTGTTTTTTAGACTAAATTTTATTCTATTATTTACTCTACTTATTGATAAACTCTATTAGAGATAATTTTTTGAATATACTCTAATAGATTAAAGTTTCCTATTGTAGACTTACGTTAAACATGCTAAAGTTAAAATTTAACTCTTAACAGTGTTGAAAGTTACTCTAAATCCAAAAAAGCCCTAACAAGTTCACAACCTTTTTTGCTTGAACACGTGTTGATGTGAAAACGAGGCGTGTTGTTCAGTTTGTTCTCAACGGTATGTGGATATCTTAAATGCATTCAAAGTGCAGTTTCCTATTAAAGAAGACTTAAATATTATAGATTTAAATCTTCGGCTGATTTTTATTTGGTATTAAAATATGGATTTATTTTTTAGTTGAAGTTTTCGTGTTAGTAGTTTAAGTGTTTTGCATTAAAAATGACACCTGCATATGATTTTGTTTTATAATTTCAGTATGCTTAGTTAAATATAGCGACTTAGTATATCTTAAGATAGCATAAATGCAATTATTTATTCGATTGTTTAGTTTTTACAATAATAAACCTATTTTGTGAAGACTGTTTATTTTCTTATAACTCTATTTAGAATATACCTAAATCTAATTTTGAGTATATTGCTAAAAAATCTACGTAGATTGTAGTATTCTATTAAGAATATACCAAACACTAATTTCGAGTGCATTGTAAAATCTGTATAGATTACAATTTCAACTCTACCGAGATTTAATATGTAATCTGTGTTCACTCATCGTAGAGTTAATAGTTCACTTTACCATAGATTCATTTAATCTCTAAAATTTGCTCTAATAACCGATTGAAATATTAACTCGAAAAACGAATGGACCTCCTGGAAACATGTTAGATTTAAAATAGAGTTAGTTATTTTTTACCGTGTTTGGTTGGCTATAAAAATATGGACGCTCCATTTAAAATTTTTGAATTTCTTGCCATTGAATGTGCAAAAACGGTCATTCAATTTTTGACCATGCTGTATAAGATACTCTGATACAACAAATGACAATCTATTTCATAGTATTTGAAGAGTAATCGTGCCAATTTAGAGGATTTTTAAATGAATGTTGGCTCAGAAATGGTGTTTTAAAGAGTATGGTGAAATTTGCCAAAGAAAACTTAAAATCAAAATAACTCGAAAACGAGAAACGCTATAACTACCAATAACTTTTATCAAAGTCAACATATTTTTTCACATATAATTAAAAGATGTAATAAAAACTATAGCATTCTATTTAAAGTAACGAAGTTGTGGTCAACTTACAGACCGGAAGTGGCGGCCATCTTAATTAACCTCTACTACCAAAATTTTAAAACTACGAATAGTGGAACCTAAAAAAGTTCTAACGAACCTGTTACGTGAGACACCTGTATAGGAAAACGAAAATACCAAAAATTTAAAAAGGAAGGTGGTTTCCAAACCTTATTATTAATTCTATTTAATTTTATGATCATAAGAAACAAATTATGTACAAAAACGATCTGAATTCTCAGAAGCAAACGAAGCTAATGGGAAAATTATATCAATGGGCGTTTTATAATTTATATCTGTAAAAACAAAATGCAGCAAATCTTCAGGATAGTAGTACACTTCCGATTACGATTCTAATTGAAGTTCTCGCAATAACATATTTATCAGTTAATTAGCCACCAGATCATCAAAGATTTTAAATATAAACTGATAACAAATTTCTGAGTAAAAATGTACGGTTTTAAAACAATTACAGGTAAAGCATTACATTTTGAGTTTAGGTGAAAATATACTTAAAAATGAATTTAAAGGTATTTCCATTAATAAAATATTTGTATTATTGAGGCAGCTAACGTTATAACTTTTATCTTACTCACAACAGTGTTTCCATATCAAAACAATGATACATCACAATGAATCATGTAAACACAGGAATTGGTTAAGATTGCTGCTTTTTGCTGATCTAAATGTCGGCAATGGATAGTTTCCTTCTTGTATTTATGCATTTTATTCGATAAGATCACAATAATCGTACAAAAACAGGGTTTAAACGATTATAATAATATCTCTTTATGCTTCGTATAAACATATTAATGTAGTTAAGCCCCAAATAATCATTAAAGTGTGATGGTTAATTATTTTTGAACTGCTGTATATATTATGATAATGATTTACCTGTAACTTGTGAACATGACTGGGTTACATTTGGAACAAATCCTGCAAAAACAAAATTTGTAATTTGTACTTTTAATATAAAACTAAGGATTGTTGTTATACCTGGTTGAGGAGGTTGTAGTTGTGGATGTGGTTTATGAGGCATTGCCACTTCTGCTTTTGGTGTATATGGTGGTGGAGAAACATTTGTCGTAAAATCGTCCTTATTTTGTGATAGACCTTCCATCTGTATTTAATATAAAATTAATTAATTTATAATACTTACCGCTAACGGTAAATTATTATTATTACGAATTTTTAATAAATTAAAATGTGTTATATTACTGTCTAATTTACTATATAGAAAGCATAAAATAACAACTATGATATGATTATTATAATTAAATCCTAATATTAGAGATTTACCATTATTAACTTACCTTTCTGCTTTAAAAACTGTGTTAAAGTAATCAACTATAAAAAAATAAACGTAAACAGAATTTTTACTGTCTGACTTAAACTCTCAAGGACGTATAGCGGTTTCTGTACGTTCAGCGAGTGCACTCCACAGCCAGACGCAATCTTAAATATATAGTTGGCTTGACAGTGATACTAAAAGCACAGAATAACCAGAAATGGCACTGACGCGATTTGTATGATGTTGACGGCATCTCGTTTTATGACCTCGATTTAAAATCCGTCATCTTCTCGCGAGGAACCATAGCTGCGATGAACGCACAATGAATGAGAGAGCCAACTTAAACAGAGACAATTTAATTTACCACCAATAGCAGCAATACCTTGCTTCCTCGCAACAATATGGGGTCAGATTTGGTAGGATACCGCCAGTGTAACTTCTTGTGATTCTGTGCTAAAAGCAATGATGAGTGGAGGAACCAAGTTCAACAAGTCAACGCTCCGTAAACTATTTAGAAAAAAGCAGGCTTCACGTTAAGTAGGATTTCACCACATTTTAAATACTTCACGGTTGCATGGATCAAGTAGCTATGACGTCACTGGGAATTTCTTGTGACGCAGCACACTTCGAAAAAGCCGGTATACAGAGCGTTTCCCGCAAATGATTATGTATATCATAAAAAATATTGTTTGAAATATCGAATTACGGCTTTCAGATCTTGGTTATCTGTAATAATAGATATAGAGTTACATTATGATATTCGATGGAACAGTTTATTTAGAAGAAATAGAAGCCTTTCTAAAAATATTTGCCTTAATTTCTTTCATCACTCTATTTCTTCATGGCCAATTCCAATATGGATTTCGTGAACAATTTGAAAGTTTTCGTCCAAAAATATGTAATGTACAGTGCGTTTCAAAAGTAACGGATAAATTCGATAAAATCATTACAAACAATTTATGAAAAAATCGCTGAAACGGGTCTAAAGATTATTAAATGTTTTGCAATTTTTTGGTGTGTATTTTAAATTTTTTCCGTCATTTTTAAACGAGTTATGACGTCATCGAAGCTTTCTTAAACGTCAGATAAAAATCTCAGTAATATAATTAATATAATATAAAACTTATAAATAAAGCTTTATGAAAGTCTTCTTCAAATTTTAAATACAATTATTCAATATCAAAATTACGTGCATTCAAATTTGTCCGTTTTCTTAAGCAGTTAGCACTTATTGAGCAATTATTGCACTTCATCAAGAAGGAATAGATAAACGGGAGGTTGCCGAACGTGTAGGCTTATCAGTAAGATTTGAAGAAAACGGGAAAGTTGGCCTTACAACATCTAGATAAGGCCGAAGACTTATTCTTAATAATGCTCAACGAAGGGGAATTGCTGAATACGTCACCGCCAATCCATTTACAACGTCCACAATTAGCAAGGATTTAATTCGATTGAGTACATTCGAGTGTTGGAGGATATTTTGATATTATAGTAAGAACCTTGTATCCAGAAAGGATCATCACGATTGTCCAAGACAATTCACCCGTGCATTGAAATACACAAAGAATAATTTTCTCAATATACTAATGGGAGCACTTTACGGTACAATGCAGCATATTTTATTTTTTTACGCTAAAACTATTATCTTTAATGAAAAAAACTAAAGACACAAAAGAGTACCAATAATGAATAAGCTTTACAACCCATATTTTTTTATGTTGATATTCCATGGCATTAAAAAGTTGTTATAAAAAAATCAAAAGGGTTGTGAATTTCATCCCCTTAGAGGGCGCTGGGGAAGTTTCAGGTATGGTTGAAAATAAGGTATTATATAATAAGGTATGTACCAGTAGTACAAACGTACAAAATTTCAAATTCTACGGTTTACTTATACCCAAAATAGAAGATAAAATGTAAATTTTTGGCTCAACTTTGACAGCTCATAGCTCGAAAACAAAAGAGTTGCGACCCTATATTTATATAAAAGATTTGTATTATTTTGGCAAGTACTACATCTTAGTAAAGTTTCCCGATTAAAAACTGAACCATCCTGTATAGTTTATACAGGGTGTATCTGAATGACGTACCCAAACTTCAGGGGGTGATTCTTTAGTGAATTTTAACTTAACAGGGGGTGACTTCGGCTCCCCTAAGGAACTACACCCCTCCAAAAATGGCGGAAAATTTTGGTTTAATTTTTTTTATGATGATGATAAATACATTGGAAAAATTTCAGTTCGATAGATGAAACTATTCTAAAACCTTTTTGTCTCTCTGATGTCCTTCTAAAATTTAATAATTTCTGAGAAAAAAAAACAATTAAGCAAACATTAACTGTTAAGCTGTAGGGTTGTTAATCGAAAGTTGGAATGAATTTTAAATAAAAAAATCTAGTAGGTTTTGCAATCTTTATCAGAAATATTTTTGACGTTTAAATGTTAGTGGTTTTCTTACTATTATTATTGTTTTATTTAAAATTTTGAAACGTCTAGTGAACGAGCGTAAATGCGATAGAACTTTATTCAAAAATTAATTTGAAAAACAATAATAATAGTAAGAAAAGCGCTGACATTTAAACGTCAAAAATATTTTTGACAAAGATTGCAAAGCCTACTAAGATTTTTTATTAAAAATTCATTCCAACTTTTGATCGACAACCTCGTTGTTTAACTGGTAGTATTTGCTTTATTATTGTTTTTCTCAAAAATTAGTCGTTTTTGGAAAAATTTTAGAGAGACACAAAAGTTTTAGGATGCTTTCATATACCTATGTAAAATTTTTCTAATGTATTTATTATCTTCATACAACAAATTTTAACAAAAATATCAAGGGGGTGGTTACATTTAGTAGTTTAGAAGGGTAGCTTGAAAGTACAAATAGGGTCAAAACGTGCTCTATTATGAGTTAAACATATTCCTCAAATTTCATTTTCCTAGCGTTTATGGTTTTTAAGAAAAAAAAATTAATCCAAAATTTTTCGCCATTTTTGAAGGGGAGCTACGCCCCTTAAAACAGCTTACGCAGGGGAGTCGAAATCGCTCATAGTTTATATAAGAAAGTACCCTTAAAATTGCCTAAAGAATCACCCCCTGAAGTTTGGCACGTCATTCAGATACACTCTGTATATAACTTACTATCAATATATAATTTTCATTTCTTATGAGGTTCGACTAATCGTTCCACTGTATTACCAAAGTAATACAGTAATTATTAGTAATTATTTTCATATACTACAGGAATTATGTAAAGTAAATGGATTGCTTATACTTATTTATTTTCTTAATTTTTCTTTGTGATTCAGTCATCTTGGCCATAAATCACATCACCCCGCTTGCCTGTTTGGAACTTTTACAATACTGCAGTGCAGGTAAAACCTGGATTGAATGCCTCGTGAACGTAGGTCGTTTCTAGTACAATTTTATGCCTCTACGAGCGGCTCTTTTCAATTTTTTGTTGAGGTATTCTCGTACAACCCGTGCATGATGGCGAGGCGCGCCATCTTGCTGTAGCCAAATTCTGGGATGTTGTGAATTTGGATCTTCTGCATTTGGAAAAATTGCAACTAAACTTGGAATTAATTCTAATTGAAGAAAATTCAAATACTATTCACCGCCTATTGTTCCAATAGAGAAATACAGTCCAATAATTCTGCTCTCCACTATTCCAGCCCACACATTGATCTTTTGGGGATACTGTGTGTTTGCCTCGGCTTTCCAATAGGGATTTTCAACTGCCCAATAACGGCAGTTTTGCTTATGGACGGTGCCATTTAAACAAAATGCTGCTTCATCAGAGAATAGAATGTTTTTAATGAATTCCGAATTTGCGTTACATTGTTTCGCAGAATTGCACGCGTCGATCAAAATCGTCATCGGAAAGCTCTTGCACCAAGTGTACTTTGTAGGGGTGATATTTTTTTCTAGATGTATTTAAATTTCCTCTAACTTAATTCCTCTACACTTAACAGGACATCCAATTGACGGTCTTCATTTAAGGCCAATGGACGTCCGGTCTTAGCTTTATCTCGTACATGACCAAGTTCGCGAAATTTACTCTCATTCGGTTTATTGATATTGGAGTACGGTTTGGATGATTTTCGTTAAACAACGCACGGACTTCGTTATACGTTCGAACGACTCTATTTCCGAAACCAATCATCATAAGAATCTCGATTCTTTCAGTTTCAGTAAGCGTCATTATTACTTTCTTACTTATCGAACACTCAATAATTAAAAAATAACCAATAATAGATAAAAAATAAGATCAAATAACAACAAAAAAATAATAACGAATAGTGATGAATAGCAACAAAATACAACGAATAACAATGAATAACAACAATTAACATAAGAAACTCCACAATACTACTCAAAATAATCTCATTAACACACAATAAACTGTTTCAAATCGAATTTTGACACTTGGAAATTTTAAATCAAAACAATTGGTTGCCATGGTTACGCACGGTTACTACTATTTTTTATATCAAATGAATGGGAAATAATGAATAGGTATCAGCAAGGTATCAGCAGGCAAAATTATGAGTAGTATAGCTATGGACCAAAATCCCATAAGATTTAACATTGGGGTCCAAAGTTACTTTTTATCCCCATCACTACCTCCTTTCGAGGTTTTGGCCATGCCCACATTTTAAATTCATCCAATCAGAGCGCAGTATTCTCCTAGAACCCTCTTTTAGGCGGGAAATTTGAATGAGGCTACCAAGATGAGTACCTAGAGTGCGGGGTGCGGGCGGTCACAATGCGGGGTGCGCGCGGGCAGGGTGGCCCAATCAGAGTACAGCATTGGGTGGGTTGAATAAAACAGTAGTAAATGCTTCAATACTGAAGTAAATTCTATGATTGTGAAGCAGGTTCTACTAATTGCAGTACTTTATCGGTAGTTTGTCGCGTGGAAAATCGAACTTTTTACGACGAAGGGAAGTACATGCTACAAAGTAGCTATTTCAACGATAGCTTATGAAAGGCCAGCTTCGTTAATCTTGCTACGATGCTACAGTATTAAACATGGCGAAAGTCCCTCAAAAAGTTGTACAGCGGATTTGTTTAGGCTACATATTCAAGATCGACAGCTGATGAATAGTAAAATTCTTAGCTATCACTACAAAATTTCAAAAAGCTTTGAGAAGCGATGTGGAACTGACAAGACAGCTGATACTTCTCGACAAAATGGCTTCACAA